ATTTTATTAATATATAATGTGTGAACATGTTATTTTTACAATCAATATGCACAATTAAACAGTTCACAAAGGCATTAACATGATGTTTACGTGGTATTTCAAAATCTGGTATAAACTGTAAGAGTGAATTTTCCTTTTAACTGTGAGTCAAATGCATCTCACACAAACCAGAACACTGACTTCTGAGGGACCTGTGCAAACTGTAAACCCGGATAAGATGATTTGGCCTCATGCGTAAATGTTTCCTTATGTTTCTTTTATTCTTATTTTGCACAAAGCAATAAGAGAAAGCAGGGCCTAGCCTTTGGGAGCCCGAAGTAGATTTGGTTTGGGGGCCGTCCTCATTTGGGGGCCGATTGATGCATATTTTAGCCTCACTGGATAACAGAAATACTTTAAGGCAGTCATTTGCTCCATTTTTTGGAAACAGATTTGATCATAGTTTGTGTGTGAACAACTTAAGAACCTTTGTGGCATTCATCAGTACTCGCTAACTTAGCGCTTCCTCTTAGGTAAGATCAACAATGCCCTCATAGACTGTATAAATAATGGACGTTGCCATCTTGACTTCACCTATTATTTTGGGGACTGCCGTTTTATAGCCTTGAGTTCAGCATTTTGGCTGTCGCCATGTTGCATTTCTGGAGCCAGAAGGGACCGTATTTGGACAAAAGGGTGGAGCTGTGGAGGAGAGTGCCTTCAGCCCCATGTAAGCTAATATGCACCAAAGCCAACTTGCATTTTGTGCTCCTAAAAACACTAAAAGTTATGATAAAATAGTTATTTACATTATGAAAACACAGAGGAAAAATCTTCAGCAATTATAATTAATTGAATAATTTCAAATGTATGAAGATGATCAGGTCTAGTCTAAATGACAACAAAATTAGACCAATATGCCAGCAAGCGCACACACACTCACACATACACACACACACACACACACACACACACACGATTCTCTTGTGCTGCACAACAATTCAGTGCTATGTAGTTGGATCACAGTGCTGCTGGAAATAGGTGGTTTATCAAGTGTCATAATATGATGGGATTTTCAAACATCTGACACATAAAGACAAGTGAGATGAAGCCCTTTCCAGTGAGGCTAAAATATGCATCAGACTTTAACCAGGTCAAGCAAAAGGACCTGAGAGGGACCACTGGTGGTGATAGATACATTCTGTATTTTTAAAGTAATGTTGCTGCTAACAGGTCCCACTGTAGGCTTTACATGCTTATTTGTATATTATGTGTGTATAAACTAAAACACAAGTTGCCACAGTGGCAACACGATACAATGAGGATGGCCCCCAAACCAAATCTACTTCGGGCTCCCAAAGGCTAGGCCCTGCTTTCTCTTATTGCTTTGTGCAAAATAAGAATAAAAGAAACATAAGGAAACATTTACACATGAGGCCAAATCATCTTATCCGGGTTTACAGTTTGCACAGGTCCCTCATAAGTCAGTGTTCTGGTTTGTGTGAGATGCATTTGACTCACAGTTAAAAGGAAAACTCACTCTTACAGTTTATACCAGATTTTAAAATACCACTCAAACATCATGTTAATGCCTTTGTGAACTGTTCAATTGTGCATTTTGATTGTAAAAAGAACATGTTCACACATTATATATAAATAAAATGAAAGTTTATTGTGATAATACACTGTAGTGCAGACATTTAATGATGCAGTCACTGAACATGTATGAACAACAGCATGACCAAATGCAGTCACATCCTCAGATTTACAGGAGCCACAAATACAAAATAGTAAAAGTGCTTTAAGAGAAAATGTGTAACAAGTAAATATTTAGTGGTGGTTGTGGAAGTCTAATCCTGGGGCAGAAATCATTGGAAGTCACAGCGGACTCCGCAGAAGACACCGTCACGAGTCGGGTAGCAGTAAGGAGTGCATTTAGCAGGTGCACGCTTCTTCCTGATGTTAAACAGCCTCTGTGTGAAAGACAAAAGACATTAAGTGTTCATCTCCAACATTATCTCTCACTCTGTTCTCTCTCCTTCTTCTGGAGAGACTTGTCTCATGGTATTTGGCTTAGTTCACTCAGTTAACTGAACATACCTCCCCCAATTCTACTGGCAACTCTTGATGATCAGCAACTGGATCATCACTGCTCACTAACTCCACCAGCTCTTCTACCTGTTCAGGAACGACATCATAGTTATTTCACAAAAGACTACTGACTTAAAAAGCAAAAGAAATAAGTGAAGTCATGTTCTTACTCCAGTGACGGGTAAGGCAGAGCTCTCCTGAGTGCAAATGAAGGCGAGCACGACGGCCACTGCAACTGCAACACTGAATGTCTTCATCTTAGGAGGGTTGAAGTGGTTTAGTTGGTAAGCAGATATATTTTTCAGATCTCTTGGTGCCTCTTGTCAGGTCTGCTGACTTCTGTCTGATGGTTGAGTGTAAAAAGTGCTGGTATTTATACTCAGTCGGGCCATTGTTGCCTCATCACAGGCAGAACACACCTGCTTCCAGTAATGGGCTTTACATCACACCTGCCTAATGCTGGCAGTGGAAATGGGACTTTTTCTGCTTTTGACCTTTGGTCACATTGTTTGCTCCACAACAAGTCAACAATGAACTTTTGAATTAAACTATATGTATTGTACTTTTACTTAAACAAGAAACAGAGCAGAAGTGTTAGAGCCTGTAAAACTTCACAGGTCCAGCTCATTCATGGATGACTGGGCTGCTTTTTTTGACCTATGTAGAAAACTCTCTGCTGAATGGGAATCCATGTTGAATATCTGCTCAGTGTAAAGGATGCAATTACAAGCAATCAAATAGAATAATTTTCAACAATTTCAGTTTTGGCATAATACACAGGAACCTGCAGTTCAAGCAAATGAATCCTCTTGAGAGCAGCAGAAACGTAGACAAGAGTTAAAGTCCTTTTCCCTGTGTAATAATTTGTCCATTATTGATAATGTATGACCTTGACATAAAATGTAACATTAGTAGTGTGGCAAAAATACAGTCATACAACCTATTTTACTTGGTCCATACACCAGGCATCTTACTGGCATATACTGAATAATTAAGACATGTGTTAAAGACCTTAGTCATGTCTATTGCAACAACTGAAATCCCTTATTTACCCCTCATCAATATTTGCTAACCCTGCTGGCCCATGTGCTGGCTTCAGGTGACCACGTCAGTGTCAACTAACACAAATGACTCCCAATCTGTTGGAATCAGCCAATATTTTGAAAAGAAAAGGTGTCATTACCTAATCTTTCAACCACTTTTTCATCTTGCACACTATCTCCAGTCACAATGAACACGTCATTTCACTTTGACCTTTAATATCCACTGAAAAACCTGGGAAACAAATATGACACATAATATTAGTTTCCTAAAACATAATTACATGTTGATGTAAATCTGTAAAGCCTACACTCACTGTTTTTGCCAGACAATTAATGTGAAAATGAACAAACCATAAAACACAGTATATTTGATTGCAGTAGTATTTCTTGATGCTAAATAAAACACAAGATGGTGTTCATACAGGCTGTCGTGTGCTGTTGATGGTCAGAGGCCATAATCGATTCTCATCTTTGTCTTTACACACTGTTTCGTTCATGGCTTAGGTCTGAGGAAAGATGTAAAGATCAAGGGGCACCAGTACCTCAGGCAGCCCAGGTAGATTACCCATGATACCTAGGGTTGTGGTGTGAGAAGTGCTGGGAACATGGGGGTTGCTTTACATGGTGGGTTTGGTAGCATTTAGGCGCTAGACCCAGGTAGAGAGGTATTTTGATCGGCCTGAAGAGGTGACTCTGACCGTTGTGCTTGTGCCAGCAGTAGCTTTATTTTGGCCAGAATATTGGTTGCTGTTAATGAGACAAACATTCAGGAACACACAGGCCAAAACAGGTAAGCTTGGAAAATCCAAGCCTGCACTGCAAATATTTTTAAGCTCTTTTTTTTCAATCATTAATGAAACATCGTGGATGTGACCAGGGTTTCGTCACACACCTAAAGCTTCACTGGCGGCAAATAAGCACAGCGAGGTCTTAACAAATGATGAAGTGATGAGTTTTGGTTATTGCAACAGACAAGACTGAAGTCTGTGAAATGTGTCTCTGAATTTACCAGAAAGATGCTCAGAGTACAGATAAAATTGGACATTTGATCTGTATTTCTGCTACACTACTACTGTTATATTTTATGTCAACTACATTAAATCATAATCAATAATGGACAAAGTATTGCACAGCAAAAACAGCTCTTGTCTTATTTTCTGTTGCTCTCAGAGGATTCATTTGGTTGAACTGCAGGTTCCTGTGTAATATGCATAAAGTGAAATTGTTGAAAATTGTTCTATTTGATAACTTGTAATTGCATCCTTTACACTGAGCAGATATTCAACGTGGACTCCTATTCGGCAGAGTTTTCTTCATAGGTAAAAAAAAAAAAAAAGCAGCTCAGTCATCCATGAATGAGCTGGACCTGTGAAGTTTTACAGTCTCTAACACTTGTGCTCTGTTACTTGTTTAGGTAAAAGTACAATACATGTAGTTTAATTCAAAAGTTCATTGTTGACTTGTTGTTGTGGAGCAAACAATGTGACCAAAGGTCAAAAGCAGAAAAAGTCCCATTTCCACTGCCAGCATTAGGCAGGTGTGATGTAAAGCCCATTACTGGAAGCAGGTGTGTTCTGCCCGTGATGAGGCAACAATGGCCCGACTGAGTATAAATACCAGCACTTTTTACACTCAACCATCAGACAGAAGTCAGCAGACCTGACAAGAGGCACCAAGAGATCTGAAAAATATATCTGCTTACCAACTAAACCACTTCAACCCTCCTAAGATGAAGACATTCAGTGTTGCAGTTGCAGTGGCCGTCGTGCTCGCCTTCATTTGCACTCAGGAGAGCTCTGCCTTACCCGTCACTGGAGTAAGAACATGACTTCACTTATTTCTTTTGCTCCTTAGTCATTAGTCTTTTGTGAAATAACTATGATGTCGTTCCTGAACAGGTAGAAGAGCTGGTGGAGTTAGTGAGCAGTGATGATCCAGTTGCTGATCATCAAGAGTTGCCAGTAGAATTGGGGGAGGTATGTTCAGTTAACTGAGTGAACTAAGCCAAATACCATGAGACAAGTCTCTCCAGAAGAAGGAGAGAGAACAGAGTGAGAGATAATGTTGGAGATGAACACTTAATGTCTTTTGTCTTTCACACAGAGGCTGTTTAACATCAGGAAGAAGCGTGCACCTGCTAAATGCACTCCTTACTGCTACCCGACTCGTGACGGTGTCTTCTGCGGAGTCCGCTGTGACTTCCAATGATTTCTGCCCCAGGATTAGACTTCCACAACCACCACTAAATATTTACTTGTTACACATTTTCTCTTAAAGCACTTTTACTATTTTGTATTTGTGGCTCCTGTAAATCTGAGGATGTGACTGCATTTGGTCATGCTGTTGTTCATACATGTTCAGTGACTGCATCGTTAAATGTCTGCACTACAGTGTATTATCACAATAAACTTTCATTTTATTTATATATAATGTGTGAACATGTTCTTTTTACAATCAATATGCACAATTGAACAGTTCACAAAGGCATTAACATGATGTTTGTGTGGTATTTTAAAATCTGGTATAAACTGTAAGAGTGAGTTTTCCTTTTAACTGTGAGTCAAATGCATCTCACACAAACCAGAACACTGACTTATGAGGGACCTGTGCAAACTGTAAACCCAGATAAGATGATTTGGCCTCATGTGTAAATGTTTCCTTATGTTTCTTCAACATGGATTCCCATTCAGCAGAGAGCTTTCTACATAGGTAAAAAAAAAACAGCCCAGTTATCCATGAATAAGCTGGACCTGTCAAGTTTTACAGTCTCTAACACTTCTGCTCTGTTCTTTGTTTAGGTAAAAGTACAATACATATAGTTTAATTCAAAAGTTCATTGTTGGCTTGTTGTTGTGGAGCAAACAATATGACCAAAGGTCAAAAGCAGAAAAAGTCCCATTTTCCACTGCCAGCATTAGGCCATGTGATGAGGCAACAATGGCCCGACTGAGTATAAATACCATCACTTTTTACACTCAACCATCAGACAGAAGTCAGCAGACCTGACATGAGGCACCAAGAGATCTGAAAAATATATCTGCTTACCAACTAAACCACTTCAACCCTCCTAAGATGAAGACATTCAGTGTTGCAGTTGCAGTGGCCGTCGTGCTCGCCTTCATTTGCACTCAGGAGAGCTCTGCCTTACCCGTCACTGGAGTAAGAACATGACTTCACTTATTTCATTGTTTTATAGTATTATTAGTGTTTTGTGAAAATGCTTACATGTCGTTTTTAAAACAGATAGAATAACTGGTGGAGCCAGTGAGCAGTGACAACAATGACAATCATCAAGAGCTGCCAGTGGAATTGAGGGAGGTATGTTCAGTTAACTGAGTGAACTAAAACAGAGTGAGAGATAATGTCGGAGATGAACACTTAATGTCTTTTGTCTTTCACACAGAGGCTGCTAAACATCAGGAAGAAGCGTGCACCCGCTGAATGCACTCCTTACTGCTACCCGACTCGTGACGGTTTTCGCTGTGGAGTCACCTGTAGATCCTGAAGATCCTGTCCCAGGATTAGACTTCCACAGCCACCACTAAATTTGTATTTGCTATAAAAAAATATAAAGAAATTTTACCATTTTCAGTTGTACTTGTGGCACTTGTTAATCTGGGGATGTGATTGCTGTTGTTCATCTATGCTCAGTGATGTTACTGCATCATTAAATGTCTGTGCTGCTGTGTATTATCACAATATAAACCTTCAGGTGTGCATCTGCCGTAGCACTGCATGTCACACAAACCAGAACACTGAGTTGTAAGGAACCTGTGCAAACTATTAAACAGATGAGATGACCGGGCCTAATGCTTGAATGTTTTCTTGTATTTATTTCTGCCACACTGCTAATGCTGCATTTTATGTCAAGTGCATAAAATTGTGACATCAAATGTGGACATATTGTTAAATATCTAAACTCCTACGCTAAGATAGATTTTTTTTTTCTAAATACAGTTGGGAGACATGTTTCTTGAATACCTAATATCCCAAATGTCAACTGGGAAAAGAAGAATTTCAGACTTAGGGACTGTTGGTTACTTATCACTGGGAGGAAGTTGTGCAAAAAGGGGGAGGTGTAACAAATTATTTCTTGTTTTTTATTTTTTGGCTTAGCGGAGGGGTATAGAAATGTATTGTATTTTGTAATTATTCTATTTTTGAAGAATAAACATGCCTGCAGGTTTGGCAGGCTTTTTTGCTTTATTATTTATTTTTTTTTACCATCTATCATTGCCAGAAAATGTAAAATCAGAAATTATGGTTGGATTTTCAAATTTTAGACAGTCCTGGACACATCATGTGTGACGAATGCTGCCATCAGAAAAAAAAAAAAAAAAAAAATCCTAACCAAATAAGACCTTGAAATACTCATATTTCATCAAAATCACCTTGTCCTAGATCTCATTTAAAATTTGGCCAAAAATTAATTGTTTGCACTAACTACCTACCATGCATGACAAGAGTGAAAAACCAAGGCTTTTTTCATCTCCAGGATTTCATCTTCAACTTTTAACTGTTAACGAATTAAAGAGTCACACCTAAGCCACCCCCCTCATCTGATAACTAAAGAACAGTCCCTATAATGAGGTCCCAGGTTCTCTCTCTCCACTTGTTGCATATGCAGGTGTGTGTTGTTAAGCAATACCTAATACTCTGTTTTTCAACAGATGTTTAGTGTCCCTGTTTTACGAGGATAAATGTGAGCAGAGAGTTTCTCCAACAGGAGAGCAGAGAGAAAAAGATGAGACAGAAACAACAAGTGCAGTGAGAGGATCTTTGTTTTATTACAGAACACTGGGTTTTCTCTAAAGAAGATTAGACACTTCCCCTCACAGTCAACATCCTTTACCGTCTTTTATAAATATGAATCAAACTGTGTCATAAAATATCCTCTGAAATGAAGTATTTATAATATTATGTTCACATGATAACATTATCTGGACTTAATAGACTTTATTTTTTTTGCAAGTCTGTCCATTATGACTGTGCATAATGCGCTATAAAGACGAGATAAGGTAATATTTAACAAAGTACGGGCTTATTCCAACAGGTTAAAAGCCATTTGTGGTTGTTGACACTGATGTGGTCACCTGAAGCCAGTACATGGGTTATCAGAGTGAAATGGGGGATTTTGGTTATTGCAGTCGATATCTGGAATGAACGAGTTCTTATTGTTGTATAGCAAACACACCTGAGACAGTGCAACTAAAACAGGGGCTTTATAGCATGCCTTCTTTTCTGCTGCTCTCAAGATGATTCATTTGCTTGAACTGTAGGTTCCTTTGTGTTATGCAACATCTGAATTGTTGAAAATTATTCTATTTGCTTGTAATTGCATCCTTTACACTGAGCAAAATATATTCATAAGGGGCTCCCCAGTAATCCATGCATTAGCTAGACCTGTGCAGTCTTATAGTCTTTAACTGTTCAGCTCTGTTTCTCCGATGGATAAAAGTGATAAAAAGAATATAACTAAATTCAAAAGTTCATTGTTGACTTTTTGTTGTGGAGCAAACAATGTGACCAAAGGTCAAAAGCAGAAAAAGTCCCATTTCCACTGCCAGCATTAGGCAGGTGTGATGTAAAGCCCATTACTGGAAGCAGGTGTGTTCTGCCTGTGATGAGGCAACAATGGCCCGACTGAGTATAAATACCAGCACTTTTTACACTCAACCATTAGACAGAAGTCAGCAGACCTGACAAGAGGCACCAAGAGATCTGAAAAATATATCTGCTTACCAACTAAACCACTTCAACCCTCCTAAGATGAAGACATTCAGTGTTGCAGTTGCAGTGGCCGTCGTGCTTGCCTTCATTTGCACTCAGGAGAGCTCTGCCTTACCCGTCACTGGAGTAAGAACATGACTTCACTTATTTCTTTTGCTCTTTAGTCATTAGTGTTATGTGAAATAACTATGATGTCTTTCCTAAACATGCAAAATTCATCAACAGGTAGAAGAGCTGATGGAGCTAGTGAGCAATGACAACGATGACAATCCAGTTGCTGATCATCAAGAGCTGCCAGTAGAATTGGGGGAGGTATGTTCAATTAACTGAATGAACTAAGCCAAATACCATGAGACAAGTCTCTCCAGAAGAAGGAGAGAGAACAGAGTGAGAGATAATGTTGGAGATGAACACTTAATGTCTTTTGTCTTTCACACAGAGGCTGTTTAACATCAGGAAGAAGCGTGCACCTGCTAAATGCACTCCTTACTGCTACCCGACTCGTGACGGTGTCTTCTGCGGAGTCCGCTGTGACTTCTAATGATTTCTGCCCCAGGATTAGACTTCCACAACCACCACTAAATATTTACTTGTTACACATTTTCTCTAACAGCAATTTTACCATTTTAGTTGTACTTGTGGCTCCTGTAAATCTGAGGATGTGACTGCATTTGGTCATGCTGTCATTCATATATGCTCAGTGATGTGACTGCGTCATTAAATGTCTGCACTAGTGTATTTTCATAAGTAATTTTCATTCTTATATACTGTGTGAACATGTTCTTTTTACAATGATAACATTAACACAATGTATGTTTGCTCTTAAAACGTGGTGTCAGTTATGAAAGTGAATTTATCTTTAACAGAATATCTAAAACAGAATACCGCATCACAAGGGACCATGGACCTGTGTAAACTAGGGGTAGGAATCACCAAAGGATCTACAATATGATATTATCACGATACTTAAGTCACAATACAGTATTATTTCAATTTTAGAAATGTTGTGATATGCTGAGTATTACAATAAAAAAATACTGCAATATATTGTGATCTATAGCCTTTTTTCAACTGTAAATTATGTCCCCAAAGGAAAACTTTGTCAACATCTGTTTTATCTCATAAGATAAAGTTTTCAGTCTGTTCATTGAAATTAAGTAAGTGTATATATTATCATGTGGCACATTACAGTATATAGACTTCCTCTTCTTAAATCTTCCAGTGAAAGCAAGCTAATGTTTTTAATTCAGTTCCTCTGAGTGATATAACCAAAAACTTAATTCAAACAAGTAAGCAACCAGACCAACAGCTCCAGACCACTGATAAGTAGTGACTAATATTACAATAACTGGTTGTCTGTCAAAAGAAGAAAAGCGATGCTTCCTCTTCATATCAAAACAAACAGGTATGGAGACATATGGTTCTATTTGTTAAATATGATGCTGTGGTCAGGTGAAAAAAGCACACAGGCCAGCAGGGTTTTCAGTTAATGAGAATGGGTGAAGTTGGGGATATTGATCTTTGCACAAGATACTTTATTTTGAAAGCCGTCAAGGTGCAGAATGTAATTCTGAAGAAAGGTAACTGATTGTTGATTCTCATTCCTGGGCTGCTATGATCTTGCATTGGTAGTTGGACTGAACCACTAAGCCAAAGTATCGACATTTGACAACTTGGAAATGAAACTCAACCATCAACTACCATTCTTTAGAATTACATACTGCACCTCTAAATTATACAGAGAATTCAAATGGCCTCTGGTTTTATTGTTGCTTACAACAAGTATTAATTTGCTTGATAACAAATAAATACCATGTGACAAGAACAAAATAATTTAGTTAATGACATATGTTTATCATGATTGGATATTCTGCTAATACTGCAGCTGATGGGAATCTAGAGCTGTTTAATTTTAAACCTATTTCAGTTTTACAAGTTCGTAAAGCTCTGACATTGACCACAGAAAGTCTGCAGGTACAGACAATCTGGATCCTTATCTGTTAAAGGTGGCAGCAGATATTGTTCCTTAGCCCATTACTCATATTTTTAATTTTAGTCTTCTCTCCAACTCCATAACTAAAATTTGGAAAGCTGCCTATGTTCTCCCTTCACTTAAAGGTGGAGACCCCTCAGAGCTGAATAATTACTGTCAGATTTCCAAACTTTAAGTTTTGGCTAAGATCACTGAATGTCAGGTAAACAATTTTTATTTGATAGAAATATTTTAAATAATTAACAGTCTGGTTTTAGAACTTGGCACAACATCATTACTGCTGCTACGGTTGTGACAAATGATATTAATGGTTCCTTGGACAGAAAACAGCAGTGTGCTACTTTGTTTGTCGATCTTTCGAAGGCATTTAATTCAGTGGACCACAGACTACTAGGAATACTGGTTTCCATCCTAAGGCTGTATACTGGTTCCAAAATTATTTCACAGATCGTACACAGTGTGTTTATACAGAAGGCCATGAATCAGAATTTCTTCCATCTTAGGGCCTATTTTGTGTTGTATTTTTATAAATGATTTGAGTAACGACATTCCAGAAAAAATACATTGATATGCAGATGACACTGTAATTTACATGTATGCACCCTCCATGATGCAGGTGGTGCAAAAGCTTCAGACTGCTTTTCAGTCATTACAAACAGCTCTGCTGAGTTAAAAAAAAAAAGATTTTAAATGCTCAGAAAACAAAGTTTCTGGTCTTCTCAAAAGCATCTTCACTTCTGATGGTAAACACACTGAAAGAGTGTCCTCATACAAGTACATGGGTATATGGACAGATGACAAGCTTTTATTTAATGAAAATATTACTACTTAAGTTTGGAGGCTTAAAGTGAAGATTGGCTTTTATTTTAGAAATAAGTCTTGTTTTACTTTCAGTGCTAAGAAAAAAACTTATGGAAGCTACTTTTTTGTCTGTGATAGATTACAGTGACATATTGTATACGCATGCAACCTCTGCCATCTTACGTAAACTTGTTTCAGTCACTTAGTAATCACTGCATTCTTTATGATTTGGTGGGTTGTACGTCACTGACCACTGGCAGACAACAGCACTGGTACAGTATATGTTTTTTGGACGTGGAACAAACACTTATATCAATCACTGAATTTAAGGGCATCATAAAGAATGTGGTGACAGAGACGTGCTTGTTTTTCTTGAGATGCCACTATGTTTGAATAGTTGTTGTTTTATTGTTAATGTTTGTATTATATGTTGTATTTGTTGCATTTTAAATATGTTTTGATTGGCTGCTACCTTGGCCAGGTCTCTCTTGTAATAGGGATTTTCAATCTCAATGGGACTTCCTGGTTAAATAAAGGTTAAATAAATAACATAAGCTCAAATATAAGTTTTAAGAAATGCTCAAGAAATGCATAACAGAAAATAGTTAGGCTATTAAGAAAAAAAAGGGCTGTCAGCCGTATGTTCTTACAGATGTGGAGCCATTTATAGTACTGTTTGTTTGTTTTGCTGAATCGAGTACTCAGGTCAGAGGGGTGTCTGTAAATGGGACATGGAGGGAGGGATTTTGGTTATTGTGCAAGATATTTGGAAAGACTGAAGTTACTAAAAACTGAAATTACCCCGGACCTTTCTCAGTGTTTACACTGTAATTACTTTATTATGACCTTTTGTTAACTTTTTTTAAACTAACAGACAATCTTAAAAGAAAAAATATTCAAATAAAAAAATAGTTGGGTATTTTTGTTTATAATTTAAAAGTTAATCTAAATGTGTTTATATATAAATCTCTTATAACTCACGCAAGAACTTTTTCATGTATGGAACTGTGTGTTCTGTTCATGGTTGATTTCATTTTGTGACAAACACTGGGCCCTAACCTTAACCAATGTAGGTAGTATGTGTTCATCAGCTGTTGTAAACTTTCCTCTATTTCACCAGCACTCAGATCTCCCTGCTTTTTTCTCAGTTCAAATTCGCTGCATGATGCATTTCACCTCAGATGTTTTCAGAAACATATTTTAGCTTACCCTTTAACTGTAATTTGCAATCGTCTCTTACCAGCCAGCCGCCATATTTTTTCCTGTGGAAAACATGCCAAGCTTGCATGACATCAACTTCTAACTGTTCATTGATCTGGTGCGGCACAGTGCATTCTGGTAGTTGTAGGTTTTCTACCTCATGAGGAAATGCAAATTTCACAGCATCTTTTCTCTGTTTTCTCTGGTCATATAGGAACAATTTGAAAAGTATTTGCATCTTTCTACTGCACAGACTGCCTAGTTTTATGAAAAGAACATCTTTCCAGCAGTTAAATATTCCTTCAGCACTAGAATCCTACAATCATAAATAGAGAACGTCCCATTCTTCGGGAAATTCCCATCATCATCCAGGGACTGATGCAAGCCTGTGCTGGTGGGGTTTATAAGTGTTGTCCGTGATGAAGCAACAGTGGCCTATAAAGTATAAATACCTGCATGCTTTACACACTCGGCCATCAGACAGGGGAACAACTCAAAGTGCTGACAAAAGTCACCAACAGATCTGATTAAGTGTAACTGCTCTGCACTTAACAACTTAAACCAGCCAAACCCTTCTAAGATGAAGATGCTCAGTGTTGCAGTTGCAGTAGTCGTCCTGCTCGCCTTCATGAGCTCTGCTGTCCCAGTCACTGAAGTAAAAACTTGACTTACTTCATTTGCTTATTATCTGTAAGGGTTTTATCAAAATGTGAAGAAGTTCCTAAATGTTAACAATTTATTAACAGGTATTAACAGATCCGGAGGAGCCAATGAGCTATGAATATGAAGAGACATCAGCGGAAACATGGATGGTATGTTCAGCTGACTGAATAAATAATAAAGTAATTTAACATGAGCTAATGTTTTGCCTTGAAACTAACCTGATACTTCTCAGATGAAACAGGATAAACAGAATCAATGATGATGCTGAGAACAACACTTTTCTTTCTCACAGATGCCATTTAATATCAGAGGGGAGCAACAGAGTGGTGCCATTAAATGCCATTTTTGCTGCAGCTGCTGTGCCTTCGGTGTCTGTGGCATGTGCTGCAAGTGACAATTCTTGGACCAGCCTGGGATTCAAGGAACAGCCACTGAAAATAAACTTGTTTTATTTATTTATTTTACCAACTTAAAAAAACCTAATAATGATGTGCTCTGTGACGTGACTGCATCATCAACACATTGTATTTAATACTGTACTGTACTGTACTTGGTGGCATGGTGTTGTAGTGGTTAGCACTGTCGCCTCAGAGCAAGAGGGTTCCTAGTTCGGTCCCAGGAGGGAGCCCTTCTGTGCGGAGTTTGCATACTGTCAGCATTGGTTTTCTGCTGGTACTCCGGCTTTCTCCCACAGTCCAAAGACATGCAGGATAGGGATAGGTTAATTGGTGACTATAAATTGGCCGTAGGTGTGAATGTGAGTGTGAATGGTTGTCTGTCTCTATGTGTTGGCCCTGCGATAGTCTGGCGACCTGTCCAGGGTGTACCCCACCTCTCGCCCAATGTCAGCTGGGATAGGCTCCAGCCCTCAAGAGGATAAGCAGTTAAGAAAATGGATGGATGGATATACTGTACTTGCAAATGTTATTTATATTCCATCACATTCAGTTTTAATGTGAATAAAATATATGATGAAGATGGGTGACAAGTGTTGTGGATGAACTGCTAACTTAAAATAAAGCAATTACACTTTACCTGTGTGTTTAAGCTTTAATTGCATACGGTCAATAACAACCCAGTGATGGTAGTGTCAGCAGAAATGGCCCAATTCATTCAGTGTGCCCAGTGGGCCGATGCTGGGCCAGGTCATCTTTAATAATGGCCCAGTGATGGCAGTGTTGGCAGCAGGAATTGTGCCAGTTGATTTGGCCTGATTCTGGGGCATCACTCACCCCTAGTCTCAGCTGAGGCAGGCAACCACATGTGGCCCGACCTAGTTCTTCTGGCATGCAAAGTTTGGACAGATGCTGGACCAAGTCTTTTTTGATAACAAACCAGTGGCAGTGTCAGCAGCTGGAATTGGGACAAATTATTTGGCGTGATTCTGG